TCCGGGGGTTTCCTCCCTGCCTAGACAATGCCTGCAAGCCCTCCAAGATTTGATCCCTTGTTACCTCTGACCCTCTTTTTTTTTTTTTTTTTAAGATTTTATTTATTTATTTGACAGAGAGAGGCAGCAAGAGAGGGAACACAAGCAGGGGGAGTGGCAGAGGGAGAAGGAGGCTTCCCGCTGAGCAGGGAGCCAGATGTGGGGCTCGATCCCAGGACGCTGGGATCATGACCTGAGCCGAAGGCAGACGCTTAACGACTGAGCCACCCAGGCGCCCTCCTCCAACAGCTCTTAGGAACACCAGCAAGGAAGGAGACAGTGACAGTGACCCCCTGGTGCTGAGCTTCCAGGTCACTCCTGGACACTCCCTCAGGGGTGAGACAGTGGACACGTGCCCCTCTGGGATGCACCAGGTTGGGGGGGTGGGCGGGGCAGGAGGAGCATCGCTACTCACCTGAACACAACTCTGGTCCAATCAGAGCCGCACTTGAACCCAGGCGCGCTGAAACCAACAACAGCACCATTACCCCGAGAGCTCACACCACTCGGGGTTTGAGAGAGCAGGGTCAGGGCCTCTGGTGTTCATGCGACCCCCAGAAAAACAGCAAGAGTCAAATAAAACCAAAACCTGCACGTCTTCAGTTACCTAAACGTCTGTCTGACGGCATTGATTCGCAGATCGATGATCTTTAGCAGGTCATCGCGAGAGCAGCTGAGGAGTTCTGTTCTCTCCGGGTTTAAGTCCAGGGCAGTAATCCTCCCCAGCAGCTCCATCTCCCTGACGATGCTCTCCGATCTACGAAAGTGATGGGAAGTCTGAGAAGACGGAACACGGAAGTGTCAGAACTTCCCCACGTTGACCAGGACGCCATGCTCCATGGAGAGAGGGAAAGAAGGTAACTGGACTGGAATGCCTTACTCCTGAAGGACAGTGAACATGTCCCAATCTTACAGAAATCACCTCAAGGACTGCTTTTATTATTTTTCTCTCACTACATTCTATAGTAATAGTTTAAGTACCAAGACTCTGAATTGGGGAAGAATTAATTTCCTCGCCCATTTAGGGAATGCTATAGTAACTGCCAATCAGAGCTCCAGCTCAGCACGAGCTAAGCAGGGCTACTACCCATTCAGTACTCTTCCGGTGATGACGTGTCCACAGGGCCAAGGGCCCATAAACTTGCTCCGGTGGGTCTGGGATGCTGTACTGTACACGGACAAACGTGGGGCCTCTCGCAGGCTCCCCGCCTTACGAAGTTCAGCTCCAGGGCCCCCCCAAGTGCAGCTGGGTGATTCCAGGTGTGGAGATGGACTCCAGGGCAGAGTCCCCGCCCTAGGCAAGTCAGTCCCCGGTCTGGCTTCAGTCCTCCCCTTCCTCACCCCTCAGTGCAAACACTCCCTCAAACCCGTTCCCCTCCACGTCTCCTTTACTGCTGGGATGAGGTCCCCCGCTCCCAGGACACCATCTAAACACGACTAGCACCTCTATGCACTCGTGCTGAGCAGTCCTTTGTTAAACACCCAACGGCTTACGGGAGTAAGTCACTTATAAAAGGCCATCTGATCCCAACCCACCACCGGCTAGTCCTGTCTGCCCACGGCCCAACCTACCAGGCGGTGCTGCCTGGAAAGTCTGTCAGGCCCACTCACTTCCTAAGACTCATCCTGACACGCATTCTCTCATGTCCTTGGACCAAGGTGCCTGGCTCTACTTCAGAACACCCTGCAGACCCGCGTATCGGTCTTCCCTGCGACACTGCAGACTATCTAGCTGTCCCTTGGTTTACCTAGCAGCTGGCAAAGCGCCTCGAAAGCACAGAGAGTGTGCTCATAAGTGACTGCTGAACGAGACAGTCTACTTCAGGGTAAAGAATGTCAAAGCACTGAGATAAATGTGGACTGGAGCTCATTTCTGCCACTTCCGGGATCTTAAAAAGCACACCCTACACACAAAACCTCATCAGAGCTCTGCCACGGGAAGACCCTCTCATCTGCACCCCCCACCAAGCTCTGGGGTAGTATACCGGATATCCCAGAAGCGAATCTTCTTATCGAAATGTCCACTCATGACACACTGCTCCGTGCAAACGATATCGTTGCAGCTGGATCCTGCAAACACGGTCTTTATGCCTGAAAGAAGAGCGAACATTAGTAACCGAGCAGAGGCCACTCCGGAGCTGTGCAGGGAGCATCGCTTCCCTCTGGCCCTGAGTAACCAGCGCTCCTTATTTAAACACACTTTCAAACACGGAAAGCTGGCACAACCTCAATGCCCCTCTGCATATAAAACCGGACTTGCAATGCAACCTGTATCACGCTAGGCGTAGGCTTTCATGTGGCAACAAACACCTTGCGGTTAACGTCTAATCGTACACACAGACAGAGAGACTGAATTTCCTCACAGACTTTGCTGCGTAGATCCCAGAGCTTGAGGGTCCGGTCATGACTTCCGGAAACAATACGCGCATTGTCCAGCAGGAACTTGGCAGACAGCACTTTGCCGCTGTGTCCCGTGAGTGTGTGCTAGGGGAGAGAACACAGCCAGGGTAAGCCGTGGGGGCGCACCATGCTGGAAGAGCTAGCTTCTCCAAACACCTGGAGGTATGGTCAGGAATATTCAGACAAAAGGATATGTGGCTCGACTAAACGTCCAGAAAGCCTATCTTTCGTCCAGAAAGCCTATCTTTCGGTGTGGCCCAGAGGTGAGGAATCAAGAGGATGCGCATAAATCTCCCAGCACAAATAACAACAAAAAATCCAACACCACTAGTGCCAAGTTCAAGTGCCTCTCTCCTCAAAAAAAGGGATGGGCAGTTGGAGGACCTTTTTGAAATAAACTCTGTTACAGATAACCCCAGTCTGTAGTGTTCTTGCAATCTTCTTTCTAAGTCTGGATTGTATCAAATTACAGAATTTTTAAAAGCCTGGATTTTTACCCAGTGCCTCTGAAAATCCAGGCCCTATTTAAAGCCAGAACAGACAGGTTCCCTGCAGGCATAATTTACAAAAGGGAACATCAGGACTCTTTAAATAAACAATCAAAACCCCTGGGGTTTTTTTTTCAATCAGAGGTCTCAGCTTGAAATGTCAGACCATAACCACAGATAGCAAGCAGCACTCCCAACAATCAAGCCCCTTGGCGGGTAGCTGTGGGGTGCTGGCCAAGGAGCCAGCACCGGGGCACCGCCCAGCACCGCCCCCCTTCTGCCCATCACGGCAGGTACTGGAGCCCCAGGGGATGCCAAGGGTGCGGGGAGGGGATCCTGGCAGTCAGATCTTCCACTGCTCCCCATGGAATGCTTTTCAGTGTGGGTCAACATGCTTCTCAGTGCAAAATCTCAAAGGCTCAGAAGGCCTTCACTGAGGTTTTTTTACCCAGCCAACCAACCAATAAATAAATAAGCCTTTAAAAGCTCTGATATAGGGTGCCTGGGTGGCTCAGTTGGTTAAGCGACTGCCTTCGGCTCAGGTCATGATCCTGGAGTCCCGGGATTGAGTCCCGCATCGGGCTCCCTGCTCAGCGGGGGGTCTGCTTCTCCCTCTGACCCTCCCCCCTCTCATGTGCTCTCTCTCATTCTCTCTCAAATAAATAAATAAAATCTT